TTGCTTCTCTAGTTGATCCGTATAAGTGATATTGACTATTGTTTTCACTCTCCAAATTTACTTCACACTCTAAATTTATCTTTTAAAATCCAATAGTTTAACGTTATTTGCAATTAACTAGCAAAACGAATACTACAAGATACATTAGGGGGGAGAATAAAAATCAGGAAGTTTGTCGATGTCGTAGAGTTATTACTTGCAAGAGATGTTCTTGAATAAACATTAGGGGAGAGCATAAAAATTTGATTGCTTTTAAGCCTTATTTGAGGCTATAATGTTTATGAAATGGTGTTTTCTGGAACCGTGATCCTTAAGTTACAAAGTAACTGGAAGCTTTAATTGTTTATCATATGATGGAAATGTCACTGGCTCAATAATAAAGATTAAGAGTGCTTCATTTTTCATTTTTTTTTTAAAATTTATAGATGTTGTCTTGTTTGTTAATAGGGATAAAAACTGAGGAACAACCAGAGGAATGGTTTCAAATGCAAGCAGTTCTTCGTGTGAGCTTAGGAAATTTCTTGTTTTTTGCTATATTTTCCCTCATAATGATTGGTGTAAAAGACCAAAACGACAGACGTGATGCATGGCATCATGGAGGATGGATGGCTAAGATGGTGATCTGGATTTTGCTAGTCGTCCTCATGTTTTTCCTTCCAAATGTTGTCTTCTCAATATATGGTGAGTTGTCATTTGTACTCTTCCTTCCTAAACCCGAATTTCTTGTCTATTTTTCTTTAAACAAGGTAATCGTAAGTTACTTTAAACCTTGGTAGGTACTTTGAGCTTGCAGGAAGGCTCATAGCAAGAAAGCTTCAAAGTACTACTCAATTAAGTACTTTAATCCCTTCCTCTTGAAAAAAGAAACTCATTTCTTCAATGGGAAACTAGAAACTTTACATTGAATATATATATGATAAGTAAGAAAAGAGGAGGAAAACTCAGGAACCAAAGGAAGTTACCAAAAGAGAAACAAAAGGATACTGCTGGCATTGATAGAAAGATAACTATAGTTACAGAAAAACCTCCAAAAGAGTAGACCAATTAGAAGCCAAAAAACGCAGCTAGATGAGACCATGGAAAATTCCTCTCCAAATATTTAAGTACTTTTGGATGCTTTTAGACAATCAATAATTATCGAGGAATTAACCAGCTTTCCATCATTAAGGATAAACAATTCAATTTATTAAGATTATCATTAAGACAATTGTAATTGCATGTTTTGGAAATAGTGACTTCTCCTTTATACTTTGGCTGGTTTAGTTTACTCCCAAGTCATATTTTCCAATACTTATCTTCTTATCTCCCATAATTTCAGAGGAATAATTTTTTGTCTCTATAGATGTGGTAGAATCAAGTTGTGTGAACAGGATCAATCGAAAATGCTTCTGACATTAATCTATGGACCCTTGATTTGCTCAGGACAGTTTGTAGTTGCCTCGCATTTCACCACAACTTGATACTTTTTGTTCATTTTAATTTGATTTCCTTTTATGCTTGTGCTATTGATTTTACACATCTGAAAAGGACAATTATTTATAGTTAGGTGTATTTGTGTATCCTTCTCGTAATTGCAGGAGTTCTATCCATATTTGGGGCTGGGTTGTTTTTATTGGTTCAAGTGATTCTCTTACTTGACTTTACACACTCCTGGAATGACTCCTGGGTCGAGAAGGATGAACGGAAATGGTGAGTTCAAGTTTTACTTGCTGCCTCCCTAAGACAATACCATTTTTTATCCAAATCTTGTTTGGTTGCTGATTAACTAATTGGTATGGATAGGTATATTGCTCTTCTTGTGATATCAATTGGTTGCTACCTTGCAGCATTCGCTATCCCGGGACTTTTGTTTATTTGGTTCAATCCCTCAGGCCATAACTGTGGCCTCAATGTCTTCTTCCTAGTCATGACCATGATTCTTGCATTTGTATTTGCTGTAATTGCTTTGCACCCAGCGGTAAGTACTTAATGTTGTTATTGTTTTATAGTGCGTATTTGACATAACTTCGTGTTGTATCTCTTATATTATATCCATTCCTGTACATTTCCTATTCTGCATTCTATGAATTCCAGCTGTGTTATTGAATTGAAGCTCTGTAACACTTCTTCCTGTGGACATCCAATAAGTTTATACACCGTTAGTAAGTAGACTGAGATAGTTGAAACAGAATATTAAATGCCAATTGCCAAAGGTGGAAAATGCTTGGGAAAAAACTCTTTTTCCCTCGTAACGAGCGATTGGCATGAAATAGCAAGTCATGTTCTATCCATTTAAGAAAATCGTCTAATGCTTTATGTTTCGTTGCAGGAACAATAAGAATATATATATGTTGTTGAGGATTGTTGGGAGAGAGTCCCACATTAGCTAGGGAATCATCATGAGTTTATAAGTAAGAAATACATCTCCATTGGTATGAGGCCTTTTGGGGAAGCCCAAAGCAAAGCCATGAGAGCTTATGCTCAAAGTGGACAATATCATATAATTGTGGAGATCCATGATTCCTAACATATATGTCATGGAAATATGCTAGATTCTATGTTATTTAAAATGAGATTGCATCTCTCCTCTCCATAGATTTTTTTATTTTTTTATTTTTTTATTTTTTATTTTTATGGAAAAGAATTAAGAGAGAAATTTTGGACCTGATTAATGTGGTTGGTTATTTTAAACAGGTAAATGGAAGTCTATTGCCTGCTTCTGTGATATCAGTTTATTGCGCATATGTGTGCTATACTGGTCTTTCTAGTGAACCACGTGACTACGTGTGCAATGGTCTTCATACAAAATCTAAAGCAGTCTCCGTTGGTACCCTTGTCCTTGGAATGCTCACAACAGTCCTCTCTGTTATTTATTCTGCTCTTCGTGCTGGATCTTCAACAACATTTCTTTCTCCCCCATCTTCACCAAGAGCAGGTGCGTATGCCTAAACTTGCAGAACACCTCCATTACTAAATAGTTTAATTACCAATTGCAATGTAAGGGAGAGGACTCATAGAGTTCATTCGAAGAATATTTATTAATAACATTTTTTATGTGTTAAGTTATAGGATCGAGAGATTTGAACCTCTAACCTTATGGGCGCGAGGGTGTATGCCTCGATCCTCAGGTTGGATTTGAACCTCTAACCTTATGGTCGAGGGTGTATGCCTCAATCCTCACGTTGAATTTGAACCTCTAACCTTATGGTCGTGGGTGTATGCCTCAATCTTCACGTTGGATTTGAACCTCTAACCTTATGGTCGTGGGTGTATGCCTCAATCCTCACGTTGACCATTTAATAATATATACATTAGTACAAATTATTTACTTTCCAACTCGCGTCATTTTCTATTCATTAAAGTAGAATTTTAGTCAAGCACTGAGACTAGATGGAAAAAAACAGAAAAAGAGATGAGAAGATTTTGAACTCTGATGTTTTTAAGGAGGGAATGGTGTTCATCGCTGCATTATTGGCTTCTAATTTCTCATTGTTTGGCTAGGTGGGAGTAAACCTCTTCTTGAAGCAGAAGACTTGGAGGATGGAAAGAACAAAAAAACAGAGGGAGAGGGACAGCCTGTCAGTTACTCCTATACATTCTTCCACCTGATATTTGCTCTTGCAAGCATGTACTCAGCCATGCTACTTTCAGGCTGGACTAGCCTGAACGAGAGCTCGGACCTCATAGACGTTGGCTGGACGTCAGTTTGGGTACGTATTGGCACAGAGTGGGTCACTGCTGCTCTATATATTTGGTCACTCATCGCCCCTCTCCTTCTACCCGATCGCGAGTTCTTTTAGGTCTGTCATTTCATTCCGAGTGTATATTTAGCATACTAGCATATATTTCTATAACTCTAAGCTGCTGGGAACAGGAAAAACATCAGCCTATTTGGTCTCTAAGAAAAAAAGTATAGCAAAAAAAAAAGTGTTGTATAGTTGAATCTTAAATTCTGTGTAGTTGTGGACTGTCCAGAAATATCCATATATTGTATTAAGTTTTTGTTTCTATTGTTTGTTTTGAACTTTTGGGCATCTTTTAATTGCTTCGAATTTTGTTTGTTTTTTTTTTTCTTTTTTTTGGCATTTTATTGGTTTGAAATTATGTTATCAATTGTTAGTTGTATAAATCCCATTTTTACTTGTTCATCATAATTTATTGATATTTTGAAATTTTGGTTACTTTGTAGTTCCAATATAATAATTTAGCTGGTTTAGTTTTACACGTTATCTTTTAGTTGGTTATGAAGAAGTTCTTTATCAATTATCATTTCAAAAGTTCATGGTTAAACTATAAAAAAATATTTTTATCACTAAAATATTTTAAAGTTAAGTAATTATCCTGTATATATATAAGGATAGGATTTAAATGTCAAACTATTTAAATACTATTAATTTAGAAAGTAATATAGGTATATATATATATATTATCCTGTCAATTTCTTTGAGTTTCATTTTTGCGAACGGACTCTTTAGATGAAATTTTTAATGTATTGGCTATAGCATTGCACGTGTCGATACACGGAGCGTCTAATATCCGTAAGACTATTGGAGTATCTAATCTCATTTGCTCCCCTAACTTTCATCTCTCAGTGTTAGTATCGAGCAACAGAGTGTTTTCGTCGTTGGTGTTTTTTTCGATCTCTACGCATTTTATCGTTCCACTAGAAGTTTCCTCTACCCCTACCGTGCTCTAGGATGGTAGTTTTCACCGCCTCTCCAAGCTTGAGTCATCGATTTGAGAGGTAACTTTTATTTTATATATTTATATATAATTCTAAATATAAAGTTTGATTTATGAAATTCCAAACAAACAATGTCCGAAGTAGTTTAAAGTTATCCATAAACGCCACTAATTTCTTAAAATTCAAATAAATATGTTCCCTCATTTTCGTTACCTTTCTTTTTATAGAATTATTAATTGATTTGCCAGAAACTCAACGGTCATTTAAACATAATTTCATCAACTTTACCGGAAAAACAAATTAATTAATTATATATATATTAAAAAAAATATTGTGTTTCTTCCCTATTCTCAGCCACTCTCCTCCGTGGCGCGTGTTAAATCCTCAATCAGACGGCCCACAATCTCCGGTCCGTCACCACCACTTCGCTAATGTGCGCCATTCTTCATCTTCTTCTTCTTCTTCAATCTTCCTCTCTCTCTAAAATCCCCCTTTTACAGTCAGATCCCTTATTTTTCCCAAACTGTAAACTCCATTATTGCGAAGCTCCCATTGGGCTCTCTCTATAACATGCGCAATCTTCTGGTTCCGACCACCGCCATGCCTCCGTCCTCAATTCTCTCCTCATCGTCGTCAATTCCCAAATCCAAGACTTCTGCAAACCCTAACCCTAGCAATTCTCTTCTCTGTAAACATTCGCCATCGGCAACCCTTGACCTTCTTATTCTCATTCTTGTTCTCTTTTCTGGTACCTTCCTTGTAACGTCATATTTCTCCTACATTTTCAACTCTCTGTCGATTCTCTTATCGCATTCAGCCCCGCAGCTTCCTCAATTTCCGTTTCCGTTTATTGCTGGGTTTTTGTTGTTCTTCTGTGTGACTATTGGCGTGTTTGAGATTTGTTGTGGCGCCAGATCGAGGAAATGCGCGAAGCCGGGATGTAAAGGGTTGAAAAAAGCTATGGAGTTTGATCTGCAATTGCAAACGGAGGAGTGTGTGAAGAATGGGTCGAAGGAGATAGATAAATTGCCGTGGAAAGGTAGTAATGTGGCCAATCCGGATTATGAGTGCTTGAGGTCCGAGCTGAGGAAGATGGCACCACCCAATGGCCGAGCTGTTCTGCTCTTCCGGGCGCGCTGTGGCTGCCCCATCGCGAAGCTTGAAGGCTGGGGGACTAAGCGTGGGCGGCGGCATAAGAAGTAAGTTCATTATTTATTCGATACAGTGCCCATGAATCTTTTTTGGGGATTGTTTTTGTTTGCTCTGATCATTCAAAGGCTTGATCTCTTTCGCTCTTGTTTTGTAATTCTAGAATTGGGTCTGTTCTGCTGCAATTATCACGACCTCCTTCTCCCTTGCAAAACCCCATAACTGAAAAGAAAATGATGAAGGAAAATGGTGTATCTGAATTTAGATAGCATTTATTGATGTCCCTGTGACATACATGAAACTCTGGACGAACCTTAGTGCTCAACTCATTTTGAAACTGGTGTGAAATTTCTTCCCCTGTCTAATATTTCAGTTAAGATTATGGAAGAGGAAGACTATCTTATTTCTGTTTGGTGAATCAAAATCTATTATACATCTTCCTTTTATACGTTGATTTTTCAACAAGAAAAAATGTCGATCAGATCAATTCCCATTGACAGGAATCAGGATTTTTAAGTATTGCAGAGTCCCTCAGTCATGCTCATAAATTCAAGTTCTGGACTGAATTGTTAAATGAAACTAATTATGTAGCTAACCTAGCATCCTGGACTCATAGTTGCAGAGTCCCTCATAGTCTTTACTTGCCCGTTTTGTTTCTGAGCTCAGATTTAAATTCATACCGTTCTCGGTCGGTATAGTACTACTATCTTCTGTTTCTTCCCCCTTTTTGACATCTATTGAGGATGGTGAAATTCAATTTATGTAAACTTACTTTCAAACTTGTTCTTCCTGGTGCAAATATTATTTTTAGGGAGATAGCTTCTTGTTTCATGTTTTGATCTAGAGAAGATGTTTAGTCGTTTTTTCCCCCATTTGATGCAAGTTTTCTTCTCTCTTGGGTCCATTCTTCAAAGTTGGTTAATTATTTTTCAGTGGGAAGCTATGCTAGCAAGTTTCAGGGACTCGGTTAGCATACCCCAAGTAATTTGTTTCTGGTTAGCAATTATTGGCTAGGTTGAAGCATTGATGTTCTGTTCTCCTAGCTTCTAACTAAATTTTATGTATGCATGGTGTTCAGCTCTAGTTGTTGTTTAATTTACTTAATTCTTGCGAGCTTTACCCGATTTCTTTTTCAGTCATGATTTACCCAATAGACCATATCTAATTGTTTTAATGAACCCTGGCATTGGTATATGATGCATTCTGGAACGTTATGATAGCTAAAAAACCCAAGAGAACAGCCTAGGGGCGGGCTGGGCAGAGAAGACTCCTTCTCAAAAGGACCATAAAAGAAGAGGCTTCCTGTAACATGCCAACCCCACCACTAGCAGATATTGTCCTTTTTGGGCTTTCCCTTAAGATTTTTAAAATGCGTCTGCTAGGAGAGGTTTCTACACTCTTATAAAGAATGTTCCGTTCTCCTCCCCAAACGATGTGAGATCTCACACTTCCAATTGCAAAAAAAATCTATGGAGAGGCTCGAATTGCAACAGAATTTTTTTGTGAGAGCACCACCATGAGGAGGTGTGCTGTACATTACCGCACAAATATCTTAACAAAACCTTTTTCCTTCAAATCTCTTTGGTTTCTCTCCTACCACACAATTCCACAAAACTTTAGTGTTGACTTTAAACCTCACCTTTCCAGGACTTTCAAAAGCTAATCACTTTATTAGCAAGTAGGAACGCGATTTGGATTATACTTGATCTACACAATGATGCTATAGCTTTATTTTGCTTCGAAAAAAATCACACGAAGATTAAATTTATTTGTGTCGATATGTTGCCAAATAATCAACCTCTTGACACAAAACAACTTGAACCAGACTCATTGGTTATTATGAACCTGTTCAACATGAGTGAGATTCATCAGAGGTTTTTCAATAAAAAAGATATACCCAATACTTGGTTAGCCTTTTTTGCTTAACAAGTCAAGTCTTGTCATGTAGTGTTTCAACAATTTTATCGATGTTCTATATATGCATGTAGCCTTTCTTTTCTGGGAAGCTAATTATGATCATCTAGTTGTGTGGCTAGCTTCATCCTATTTTACTTCACTGGTTTCAGTTTCACAAAAGATGTGGAAGCATGAAAACTGTAATATAACTTGCAGGATCTATGGATTGGTAATTGTCCTAATTTCCTGTTTTACCCCATGTGGGCAAATGGAATAGGAACCCAATGTGTAACAGCCCAAACCCACTGCTAGTAGATATGGTCCTCTTTGAGCTGTCCCTCAAAGTTTTTAAAACATGTCTGCTAGGGAGATGTTGGTAGATTTGGTGGATTGTGAGATCCCACATCGGTTGGAGAGGAGAACGAAACATCCTTTATAAGGGTGTGGAAACCTCTCCATGCTAGACGTGTTTTATAACTTTGATGGGAAGCCCGAAAGGAAAAGTCCAAAGAGGACAATATATGCTAGCGGTGGGCTTAAGCTATTACACAATGCATCCCGATTCCTGGCCCACGTGGTGAGTAGTAAACAAACATATCAATTGGCTGTAGATTCTAGCGTCTGTCTCATCTCAGCTTTTGTACCGACTTTTTACATCAAGCTTGCATTGAGCTATATCAAACCTGAATCCATATCATTTTCGTACTGAAGTTAAATCTGCTTCAAGTTCTTTGTTTCAGAAAGCAAATAACAGGAATTTCTTTTGCCTTTGTTCAAGTCAAGCATTCAAAATTTCAAACATGTTTGTTGGGTTAGTTGGCAAGACTTTTAGAATTTGTTCCTGATGATATATATTGGCAAGATCTATAAGAACATAACTGAATATTCAAGTCCTTGAAAGTAAGATTGTCAAACTCTGATGGAGTGTGCCTAACATTTAGTCCTTAGAAAAGTTTTGGTTTTCTATTTCTGATGAACTGAGGAAGCTGTATAGCACATCTTACATTTACTATGAAGAGCATCTTCATATTGTATCCTCATTTATGTTAAGGAAAAACATGTTTTCACTGATGAACAATCTCATGCACATCTCTGACCTTATGATTTGCTCAAGAAAATCCTTGTTTGATTTTTCGATCACATTAGTAATCTTCAATGCTGCCATTTTCCGCAGGGTTCTGGCAACACTGGATCTTAATGGGGGAGGAGATGATCACTGATCGTCGATAGTGACTTCGCTGTCGAGAAGACCTTCCAGATATCTTACTTTCTCTTCCCATCATTTTACTTAATTTTAGATGCTCTTTCTGAAACATATGGATGACTAGAGCTTTCTTTTATAAGAACATATACTATATAACACAGTGGGTATTCATTGCCAGAAACAGGCTGCACTATCCTGGGAGATTCTTCCTCGCCCATGGAAATGGAAATATATACCGAACTTACTGCAAATAAAACCACAGACTATGATAGTTATATCTCCTGCTCCATCTTGCAAGTGTGATGGGAAGATTATTTTCTTCTTTTTCCCTTATATTTTCTCTCTTTTGATCTATTTAGTGGTTCTCTGCCCATGTAGATGGGGTTGAAATAACACTAATATAGCTTTAGTTGTACAGTAATGAGTCGTTAAAAATCGAGGAATGTCTTTTTCGTACATGTCGAACTTTTAAAATGAACACAAGTTTTAATAGGTAATCTGTGATGTCCCACATTGGTTGGGGAGGAGAACTAAACCCTCTTTATAAGGTTGTGGAAACTTTCCCCTAACATACGCGTTTTAAAGTCTTGAGGAGAAACCCGGAAGGGAAAGTCCAGAGAGGACAATATCTACTAGCAGTGGGCTTGGGTTAAGGTCATTACAAATGGGTAGACACCAGGCGGTTAAGGTCATTACAAATGGGTAGACACCAGGCGATGTGCCAGTTCTGAATACGTTTTTTTCAATCTATTTTCATCCATAGGTTTCTATATTTAAAAAATCAAAGGTTCTCTGTTTTGAAAACTTATTTTTGCTTTTGGAATTTGATTCAAAATTTTGATAATTTGATAATATAGTGTTTTTAACGAGTAATAAGTTTTTTATTTTTATTTTTTTTACAAATTACAGTTCATCAATCAATTTTCTAAAATTTCTCTCTGTCGTTCAAAATGATGAATCAACTTCAACCAATTAGGTTGTCTTCTCGTTCCTCTTTTCCCTTCGGGCTCTCGCTCTTGCCCTCTGTTTATATCTCTCGCTGACTGATCGATCCTGCACGACGACGAGGAAGAGGGAATGAGAGAGACAGATAGAAAAATATATATCCATGGAGATCGGGATTTAAACAGAACTTGTTGAGTGATACTAGATGGTTTCCTCTCATGCTCGTTTTTGCGATACCAAAATTGTTCTCTCGACGTATTACGATTCCTCTTTCATTTACTCCGCTTTATCCCAAATGGGTTTCCTCCTTCTCCACAATCGGACCTTCTTCACGGCCCCTCCACAATCTTACCTCATTCTTCAATGGCAGACCTTCAGGCAACTGCTTGGATTACGAGCTCTCCTTGGTCTCAGCTTTGAAGTCCTGCGCATCTAGCTCAGCTATTTTTCAAGGGCAGCAAATCCATGCCACCGTCCTCAAATCTGGGTTTGATTCCAATACTTTCATCCTTAATAGCTTGATTAATATGTATGCCAAATGTGGACATATTGCCGATGCCAGATTGTTGTTTGATTCGTGTTCTGGCCTGGATTCTGTATCTTGTAACATCATGTTATCTGGGTATGTTAAACTTCGCCAATTGGAGAACGCACGCCACCTGTTCGACAAAATGCCTGAAAGAGGATGCGTCTCTTACACCACCATGATTTTGGGTTTGGCACAGAATGATTGTTGGAGGGAAGCAATTGAGATTTTCAAGGATATGAGGTCTGCAGGTGTGGCCCCAAATGAAGTGACAATTGCAAGTGTCATGTCAGCATGTTCACATATTGGTGGGATTTGGAATTGCTTGATGCTCCATGCACTGGTAATAAAGCTACATTTCATTGGTCTTGTTCTTATTTCCACAAATTTGCTGCACATGTATTGTGTTTGTTCAAGTTTAAAAGATGCTAGGAGGTTATTCAATGAGATGCCAGTGCGTAATACTGTTTCATGGAATGTGATGTTAAAAGGGTATGTAAAATCAGGCCTTGTTGATAAAGCAATAGAGTTGTTTGATAGGATCCCAGAAAAAGATGTGATTTCTTGGGCTACAATGATTGATGGGTTTGTGCAAGTGAAACAATTAAGGGAAGCTTTGTCGATGTTTTCTGCAATGAGAAAAAGTGATCTTCACCCCAATGAAGTGATGATTGTTGATTTGCTTTCTGCTTGTGGGCAGTCAATTTCAATTGATGAGGGCAGGCAGCTCCATTCAATCATAGTGAAAACTGGTTTTGATTGTTATGATTTCATGCAAGCAACTCTCATTAGTTTCTATTCAGCTTGTGGAAGGATTGAGCTTGCTAATTTGCAGTACCAGGTGAGTGATAAGAGTCATCTCGCAACTTCAAATGCCCTTATTGTGGGCTTCATGAAGAACAGAATGATTGATCAAGCAAGGCAAATATTTGATGTGATGCCTGAAAAAGATGTGTTTTCATGGAGCACCATGATTTCTGGTTATGCACAGAATGAGTTACCTGATGTGGCTTTAGAGCTTTTCCATGGAATGGTGGTCAGAGGTGTCGTGGCGAACGAGATCACCATGGTTAGTGTTTTCTCAGCCATTGCAGCTTCAGGTAAACTGGCAGAAGGAAGATGGGCGCATGAGTATGTTTGCAACAAAGCCATTCCTCTTAATGATAATTTGAGTGCTGCAGTCATTGACATGTATGCCAAATGTGGAAGTATCAGCACTGCCATGAATGTGTTTTATCAGATCAGAGACAAGGCCTCCACAGTCTCACCGTGGAACGCCGTCATATGTGGATTGGCGATGCATGGGCATGCGAATTTGTCTCTTGAAATCTTTTCCGACTTGCAAAGACGTAGTATCAAGCTCAACTCGATCACATTCCTCGGGGTCCTTGGTGCTTGTTGCCATGCTGGTTTGGTTGAGCTTGGGGAGAGATATTTCTGGAGCATGAAGAGTGTATATGGCGTAGAACCAAACATTAAGCATTATGGGTGTCTAGTCGATCTGTTAGGCAGAGCTGCCCGATTAAGGGAAGCGGAGGAAACTATAAGAACCATGCCAATGAAGGCAGATGTTGTGATATGGGGCACATTATTGGCAGCTTGCCGAACACATGGGGAAGTCGAAATAGGTGAAAGAGCTGCAGAGAATTTAGCTAGATTGGAACCATCCCACGGGGCAGGTCGAGTCCTCCTGTCGAACTTATACGCCGATGCAGGGTTATGGGAGGATGCATCCTTGGTGAGGAGAGCAATGCAAAGTCAAAGGATGATAAGATCACCTGGGTGCAGTGGTGTTGTATGAAGAATTATGGACATGGGAAACCATGAAAACTTTGGTCAATTAACTCTTTTGCATACGTGTTTAGAGTCGACACCTTGATATAGGGACTTAGGACTCAAGAATTTGACTCTGTCTACGAACCTTTGGTCCGGGTAAAGTTATAAAGGATTTGTTATAACCCAGATTTCTTTGTATTGATGTTTGAAATATGGGGGAAGGGGAAATGGACCAATTTACATTTGTTAATTTTCGTGCACAATGGAAGAACTTGTTACAAAGTTCTCTACTGATGGTTACAAGACTGACTTGAAGAAAGCTATAGTACAACTAATTCTAACTCTTAGAAATCAACCTAAAAGAATACAAAAATGGCTGAATAAACTCAAGTCTCACTTTCAATTATCAGTTCAGCAGCTGCACCTATGGTACCAACCCCACCAAGTCCAAGCAATGCAAGAGCAAGCTCTTCTTCGTTCCATAGCTTGAGTCCATTACTCAATCGTTTCAATACTTCTACATCTACGTCAAGAACCCAGCTCGGTGTGCAACCAACCATTAGGCTCACGAACCCGGTCACGTAGGCACGCCATGTGTCCCAATCACAACCTAGTGATATTTTTCCGTCGAGGGCACTTGCAAGAAACTCCATATGAACACCTAGGATTTTGGGACGCCTCTTTGATGCAGATGATGAAGAGTCAGTGCCCCAAGCAAAAGCCCCACATAACACTGCAAAGTAAGCTAATGCATATCCCCCAAGCATGGAAACTATCCCCTCTGAACATTCCTCTTGCTCGGACCTGTGAACTGAAATGAACCAAGAAGGCAATGTTTCTTTTATCACAGATTGAACCAATACTAAACCGCCTGATAGCCATACTAATGAAGCTCCAAGGGAAGCTGCAAGCTTTACTTGAATCATTGCTGAAGATAGTGAAATCTGTCCATATCTTTTTCCGTTATTGGTTGTTCTCAGTTTCCCTGATCTCTCTTTTCGAGCACCGTTACAAGCTATTTCTCGTACAGAATCCATCAGAAGAGAGAGAATCTCTTCAACCAATAGTGCGACGTCTCTAATTGATCGGTAGACACGTAAAAAAAGAATTCCTGGAGCAACAGGAGAAATCCCACCACAGAAATGAGATCCAAATCCGTGGCCAAGAAGGGCCCCAACACCCCCATGATTTGAGAGGGGATTGGCAGTTAGGCCAAGGGTGGCAGTGAAGCAGCTTTTGAGAAGCTGAACCACAGCATCGCAATTCTGAAGGAAAACTGTACGAGATGCTGAAAAGACCAGGAAATCACTCCAACGTTTGGCTTTTTGAGTCCACAAGGAAGCAACAATTGGCATGCATGGCCAGGGGCAACCAGCTGCAAGAGACTCCAAGGCCGGGCCAGCCAAATTGAGGAAACGTTCGGATGCTCTGTCTATTTTGTAGGTTATAGTAAGGCTTACAAAGGCAGCTAAGGGCAGAGGAAGTGTGGCTGGAGAACTTCCCCCTACAAAAGTCACAGATAAAAAAGTCGTTATTAACCAATTTCATTATGGGGTTGATAGATTTATGCACGAGGCTAATAAGGTTTTTCTTTCTGATTTGATTTTTTCATATTTTGATTGAATCTTTAATGGAGTGTATAAATTTAGAAGGTGCTTGATTGAACCGAAACGGTGATTACAAACAACATGAAGCCCCTAACTTATCACTTGAACAATCAAACATAATCCATGTGAATGCTGTGTCGTTGGTTTACTTTGGAAGTTATCTTGAAATGCATAATCAAACTTAAATATTATGATTTAGAAGTTTACAGTGATTAGAATGACCAAACCTGCAGCCAGGCTAGGGACATCAACGCCAGTAGCAGCTAGGATTTTCTTGATCTGCTCTTCAACATTAGAAAGATTTGCTGCTGGGCTTGGCCAATCTGATCCATTCATAAAAACAGGTTTCCATAATCCCCGAGTTACTTCTGCAGAAAAGTAGCTCACTATGGTTGCTAAAGATGCTGGTAGAAAATCTGCTAGATCTTTAAGTCCTGGAATGATTACATGAAAAGAAATTAATGATTAGATATAAAGTCTGTTCATTTCAAAATTAGGTATGAGAGCTTTATTTCAAATTTACTTCTTAAGTACACAACTTAGCAGAAATCCAAAGTTCAGACAAGCTTCAACAAATGTATGGCATAGCAACTTAGATTTCTGGCGTGATTGTAGAAAACTGAAAATTTACAGTTTATGTGCTCCCTCGATAACATAAGAAGAAATATAAAAGATATACAGATCAATCATGAACAAGATAAACAAAAATTGCGTGAAATTTATCCAACCAGTATTCATACTGACCTGTAGCCAACTCACGAGGAGAAAGCTTTCCATGAGCACAGGCTGTTAGAGCAGCATCAATCACAAAAGGAACAGCTTCCATTATATCCCAGGCAGGCAATTTAGGTCTTAAAGAAGAATCTTCATTTCCAGGCCCAGAAGAACTACTGCTTCCAGAAGTAACTGAAGTTAAAGGTTGATTTCCCCCATTAATTCTTCGAAACATCATGTTAAGAAGTCCATCAACAGTCTGATGAACTGGGTTGCCATGAACATGACCCGAGAGGGTTGACGCTATACATGCTTGATGTTGTCGATACCAGACTTTCAATTTAGGAAATGAGTCTACAAATATTGGTTGAGGGGAAGAGGAACTTGCCACAGCTGAAAGTCTCATTTTATTGCGATCTTTGTGGACATTTCCAGATACTAGATGGGAATTTCTCACTAATAGTAGATATTCTGGAGTAAGTTGAGATCCAACTGTAGGTGCATCACCCACTCCATGGTCTAGAGGAGGATGGTTAAATCTCCAAAGCTTTAAGAGAAGAGTAAATGCATTTGAAAACACGGCATGAGCAGAGATTTCCTCCCCTGTTGTTAAGGTCCAATTGAGGTTTGGCACACACGATCCGAAAACCTCGCAGATTGGCATCAGTGAACAAGCAAGCTGTGGAACCTAGAACACATATCAATGAAGGCCTAATGAAATTGATGGGTGGAGGTTGGAATCTCATTTTGAAAAAAATTAGAACAACAAAATAAAACTACATAAAAAAAAAAAAAAAAAAAAAAAAAAAAAAAAAAAAAAAAAAAAAAAAAAAAAAAAAAAAAAAAAA